TTCGTGTATCTATATATATAATTAGTGTGTGTGTGTGTGTGTGTGTGTGTGTTTGATTTTGTGTTTGTTCATATATATATATATATGTATTTATATGTGTATGTATGTTTGTATATATGTATATATGCTATACCTATATCTATCTATATATCTATCTATATGTGTATATATTTATATATGTATACATATATGTATACAAATATATATATATATTTATATATATTTATATAAATATACGTATATATATGTTTGTGTGTGTGTGTTTGTGTGTGTGTGTGTGTTCGTGTTCGAGTTTGTGTATGTATGTACGTATGGATGTCTGTGTGTATATATGTATATATATATATATATTTATATATATATATATATATTACATGTGTGTGTGAATGTTGTTTTTATGTGTATGCATGTATATATGTATGTATGTATGTATATATATTTATTAATATATATGTATATATATATGTGTGTGTGTGCGTGAATATGTATGTATGTATGTATGTATGTATGTACATATATTTATATATATATATATGTATATATATATATGATATATATATATATATATGTTTGTATGCGTTTATGTACATATTCAATATAAATGCGTATATATATATATATATGTATATGGCTATAATTGCATATATCTATACATATATTGATACGCATAAATATATACCATATACAATATATACCATATATATATATATAGGTGAGCGTGTGTGTGTGTGTGTATTACTATATGTTTGTATTTGTTTTTTATACATATTTTCACACGTTTGTTTGTGTGTTTTTTTATTCTGTTTGTATTTGTGAGTATTGTTGCTATGTATATTTATGTGTAGATTTTCCATATTCAATTGACACTTGTACGCTTATATATATTTTTGTCACATGATGATATTCAAAACCAGTTTCTGAAACAAAACCATCCGCAATAGAGGTACTCCAGTAAGCGCGTGTTGCTTTCAATTACTGGTCGATATGTGATTAGCCCATAGTCATGTAAGTTCGGTAGTTTCCTGTTGATGGACAGCGTCTGACTTCTGCGTTCGAATGACTAACCTCTGTGAAATTGTCTCGCTTCTAGACCGAAAGTGAGGCACATCAACTACAAATTTGCCAAGTTGATGGTGAAGTATACATTCAAATGGTATATAATTCTTGCTGCGGGTCTTGCTGCGTCATGGCCGGCTACGTTACCGGTAGGTTTATATCTATCTGTATGACATGATGGTTAGCTGTGTCGACCGATTTTGACCTGTATATCTCTGGTTGTGCAAGTCAGTAACCAAATTATTGCAGCGCAATCTCTCGTCGCGTGTCAGAAGCAATTGACACGCCAACATCCTAGCTGTGAATGTGCTTGTAGTACTCTCTAGTCCAAGTGCGTCGGTGCGCACACTACCGAATCGCCTTGTTTATGTCATGAGTCGGATATGAAGTCTTTGACACTTGCGATACTATCGACTATTGTTAGTCTTCAGGTTTGAAAGTAATATCTAATGGATATGAATTTCGGTCGTGTACCCATTCCAGATTCTGGTCATGTCACCAGGATGGATTATTAACCTGTTTTTGCTGGTGCCTTTGTGGGCGGTGGCTGACGCCAGTGAGAATGCATCTGAAGATATAATAACATTATTTGTGGAAGGAATGTACACCCGGGACAAGGCGCTGGCTCGGGCTATCGAAAAAGCGGTACGGTCTCATGTATAAGCAGAGCCTTTCTAGTGCATCATGGCTGTGTCTCTGCACATTATTTGATCTCATGTCTTGTTGCAAGTTGGTTTAAAGAATATCCTCTTATCCTTTGAAAGTCTAATAGGAGATCAACATGTAATGTTCGCGCATATGTGATGCATTTCGTCCAGGCTCACTTGATGACTAGATGGAAAGAGTACACTCGCGCTGCCGCAATCTACAGAGGTCACAGACAATGAGTTAATACCGAACTGTGCAACCTCTCACACTCATACCTCCAAGCCGCTAGAATTCTAGGGAGCACTTGTGAGATCCCACAAGCTCGCGTCACGACGCACGAATTCAATTTGATATTACTCAATGTCACCTGATCATAGAACGAAGAGAATGCCTTGGTGAAGCCACATCATGCCGGAATTGTCGACCGTATGAAGAAGTCTTACTACACGTCGGTTGGTTCGGCTGCGGCTTGGGGTCTGTCATGCATACCCGGACTGGTGTGTAATTCGATCTAGTTTAGATTTTGCTCCTATTCTATAAAGC